TGTGATATATAACGACTTATGGTTGGTAGCTTAGCTGATTGGAGAATATAGAGTTTATTGATAACATGAAGGTAATTTATATTTTAGTTTTTATTGGTACACTATATAGTACTGTGAATAGCTCAGATTTGTAGTCATTTCTGTGACCAGTCACTAGCAAATCACCCAGTTATTTCAATGCTAAATTCGCCTAGTTATTTCAATGCTAAATTCTCCTGTTTTGATTTGTACTAAGTGCCTCGGTGAATGTGTATGCTCTGACTTCAACGTAACTATTTCTGTAGCAGTTACAAGCGAATGCCTTAATTTAGCTATTTCAATGCTAAATTCTATGCTAATTCCTTTTAACAATGGGTGCCTCTGCGGATGTGTATGCTTTAACTTTTAACATAGCTATTTCTGTGACCAGTCACAAGCTAATCATTCAGCCTTTTCAATGCTAAATTTTATGCTAATTCCTTCGTCAAGGCTCTTTGTTCCTCTCACACAGCTTAAAAGCCGTGATCTGAACGTGGCTCTCTCACTCCAGCGCTGTCCTACCAGACAGTCTCGCTCCCTTCACCTGATGAAGGCCGCTTGTGTTGTGGCCGAAACGTCGTGAGAATATTATTGTGTTATTTTATTTTATCAATTTATTATTTTATTCTCATTCTACGTGACTTTACCGAAAGAACCAAAGAAGATGAATCATTGCAGTCACGAAAGCTTTAAATCGAAATTTAAACTCCACTTACTCTCACTGTCGGACGGGGATATCATCCAAACTCCACTTACTCTGTAGGACAGGGGGTGATCATACAAACAGCACTCACTCGCACTGTAGCACAGGGGTGGTGGTGGTGCAGCTGCCTCCAGATTGGGTGGTAGTCGTGACTATATCACATCACATAATCCATTACACCGACACTCACACTTGATCCAGCACACTTCCCCGAAGCCTAAAATGTTAATGGTAATAATATCAATTATTCTGCTGCTGATCATCATCATACTCATGATGATCATCATCATCATTATCATGATGATGCTCCCTTTGATGGTGATGCTAGCTGATGATGATGATGGTGATCATCATGATGATGACGCTCTCTTTGGTGGTGATGATGGTGGTGATAAACATAATGCTGATAATGATGCTGCCGGTAATGATAATGATGGGGATGTTAATGACGATCATTATGTTGCAGGTTATGATGGTGATGATGATAATGATGTTGATCATCACGCTGGTGATTATGGTGATTCTGGTAATGATCACGATCCTGCCGGACATGATGATGGTCGTGGCGACGTTCTTTAGAACTCACCCGTTTGTCGCCCCTCAGCTCAGCAAATAACAAAGCAACGTCGGAGTTTCTATCACATCAATTATTACAACAATCCTATCGATGATGACTAAAAATGATGATGATGATGGACGACGATCTCATCACTTGTTGTTGAAGTCCTTGTTCTCAGCAGGCGACTCGGAGCGTACCGTCTTTTATGCGTGGTGGGGTCCCCCCGCCTCTCCCGCCCCCCCCCAATCCACTACCCCACCTCCACCCACCTCCACCAACCCCCCCACCCCCACTAATCTACCCGACCCTACCAATCCCTTCCCCCACCTCACCCCACCACCAAGGCCCCCACCTCCCATTTCCCTCCCCCCCCATCCCTCCCGTACCGGCACACCATCTCAAGGGAAGACCTCAGAGTGGGTTGTTGAGTGTGGGTTGTTGAGTGGGGGTTGTTGTCGTCGTCGTTGTTGTGGGGTGTGGTTGTTGTTGTGAGGTGTGGTAGTGGTAGTGGTGGTTGTTGTTGTTGTTGTGCCAAGGGGGAACGCCTCGTTGTGCAAGAAGCAAATTAGCAATTAGTGTGGAGGGTGGGGTGGGGGCACCAGGGGGAGACGGTGGGTGCACAGGGATGCAAGAGGGTGGCACGTGTCTCCTGCTCTCTCCGAAATGGGCGGTGCTCAGGAATAGCCAGGGAACGACCGAGACAATGGAGAGAGGGGGAGAGGGGAGAGCGAGGTGCATGAAGCAGTGACGCTTCGTGGCTGCACCTATGTCAGATTTTCTTTCGGTTTGTGTTTTTTTTTGCTTTCTTATGAATTTTGGTGAGCCAGGCCACTGCACTCACCCAACCAGCCAGACACTCATTCACTCTTCCAGCCACTCATTCACTCAGCCAGCCACTCACTCACTCAGCCAGCGACTCATTCACTCAGCCAGCCACTCACTCACTCAGCCAGCGACTCATTCACTCAGCCAGCCACTCACTCACTCAACCAGCGACTCATTCACTCAGCCAGCCACTCACTCACTCAGCCAGCGACTCATTCACTCAGCCAGCCACTCACTCTCTCAACCAGCCGCTCACTCACTTAGCGACTCACTCACTCAGCCAGCCACTCACTCAGCGACTCACTCACGCTCTCAACCAGCCACGCGCTCAATCAGCCAGCCACTCACTTACTCAGACAGCCAATCACTCACTCAGCCAGCCACTCACTCACTTAGCGACTCACTCTCTCACTCAGCCACTCACTCACTCAGCCAGCCAGCTGCTCACTCTCTCAGCGACTCACTCACTCACTTAGCAACTTACTCAATGCAGTGTGAGAGAGTGCAGTGGTAGTGCCATGTGTCACGAGCCCATCCTGGTTAAGAACAACAACACTTACGTATACATAGAGCACGGTTGGCTACGTACGGTGCGAAAGAAGTTCAACGCACGTAAGCACATCTCTTTTTTAGTTAATTTAATGCTTTAAAATGGCTGACAACCGGGGAGGTGAGTGCTGTGGTGATGACGTTACACGACGTGATGACGTCATAAGGCGTGATGACGTTCCAAGGCGTGATGACGTTACAAGGCGTGTTGACGTTACAAGGCGTGATGACGTTACAAGGCAACGTAGCGGAACGGCCATTTGCTACATTCGGTCCAAACAAGCGAGTAATTTCGATTTAAAGCTTTCGTGACTGCAAGGATTCATCTTCTTTGGTTCTTTCGGTAAAGTCACGTAGAATGAGAATAAAGTTAATACATTGATCAAATAAAATAACACAATAATATTCTCTTAGTAACCATTGGAAAGATGTTTTAAACCATTTCCGTTCTTAATTAATTGTATTTTACGATGACCTTCAGACCGCAGCTCTTTCGCTGGCATTGACTCTTAATACCTCTCACACCACGGTTAATGGTATGGTTTACAACATGGAGTATAACAGCGCCTCGCAGCTGTCTCTCTCCCCCTCCTCTGTTCCGACCATGGATGAACTCCTCCGTCTGAACGGGACCCGTAGCTATCCGTGTTGCTAAAGTTGAGGGTAAGAATCCACCCATTTTTTCGCCATATAGCATTGTGATATATAACGACTTATTGTTGGTAGCTTAGCTGATTGGAGAATATATAGAGTTTATTGCTAACATTGAGGTAATTTATATTTTAGTTTTTTTTATTGGTTCACTATATAGTATTCATCCTATATTGTAGTGTATACCCAGTTACTGTGAATAGCTCAGATGTGTAGGCCTTAACTTCAACATAGCCATTTCTGTGACCAGTCACAAGCTAATCACTCAGCTATTTCAATGCTAAATTATATGCTAATTCCTTTGTCAAGGGGTGCCTCTGCGGATGTGTATGCTTTAACTTAGCTATTTCAATGCTAAATTCTATGCTAATTCCTTTGTCAAGGGGTGCCTCTGGGGATGTGTATGCTTTAAATTTAACAAAGTCATTTCTGTGACCAGTCACAAGCTAATCACTCAGCCATTTCAATGCTAAATTCTATGCTAATTCCTTTGTCTAGGCGCTTTGTTTCTTCTCACACAGCTTAAAGGTCGCGATCTGAGCGTGGCTTTTTCACTCCAGCGCTGTCCTCCAGACAGTCTCGTCCCTTCACCTGATGAAGGCCGCTTGTGTTGTGGCCGAAACGTCGTGATAATATTATTGTGTTATTTTATTTTATCAATGTATTATTTTATTCTCATTCTACGTGACTTTACCGAAAGAACCAAAGAAGAAGCGAGGAATTGCTAAGAATCAAGGTAAAGTGACGTAGTAAGAAAAAAATAATAACAATAAAATAAAAAAAATAAAGTGAATAAAAATATAAAATAATTTATTATCTTTTTTATTCACTTTATTTTCATTTGTATTTGTATTATTTTATTGTTATCATTATTGTTTTCTATCTACGTGAATTTACAGAAATAAAAATAGAATATGAAACAAAATGAATTGTAACTTACGTGCCCCATGCTTAATTTGTGTTGTCAATGATTTACTTTCTAAACAAATCAGGCAATGTCTTGCATCGACCCCCATCCCAGGTTAAGAACCACTACACTATAAACTACACTATACACTACTCTACACTACGCACTCCACTTTATACTCCAATGAACACTGCTATGCACTACACTTTACACTACTCTACACTACACTATACACTACTATACACTCCACACAACTATACACACTATGCCATATTCTACACTTTACACAACTGTAGACTACCCACTTCTATCCACTACACTATACACTACACTATACACTACTATACACTACACACTATGCCATATACTACATTTTAGACGGCTATACACTACCCACTACTATCTACTACACTATACACTAATATACACTACCCTACAATACACACTATGCTATATACTACACGAGACAATTATATACACTACACGACCCCAGGTTAAGAACCACTGTTCTAAACACTATTATTATAGTCATCGTTTCTCTGGAATTCACCGACTCTCAAATCACTCACAAGCGAATTTCCAATGGGTGCTCTACACAGGCCACACTGAAGGTCAGTGGCCAGCTCGGACGAACCCTCTCAACCTTTGGTGTGATTCACATCGAGCCTACCAACAGGAAGCGATGTTTCATTTAATCTTTTTTACGTTGATGGGGAGGGCGGAAGTCTGCACAACAACAACAATAAAACAACAACCGACCACCGCCACCATTGCTCCCACCCCCGCCCCTAACTGCTGGGCCATATTTTAGTTGGCAACAACCTCGCCAGCCCTCGCCTGACCTCCGCCGTCCTGAGTCCGTAGATGACTGGGTTCAGCACGGGCGGCAGGATGACTTGGACGGTCTGGAGGGCGGTCACCCCCTCGCCGGACATGGTCGCGCCCAGCCTGAGGCCCGTGGCGAACGTGAAGAAGATCGACGTGAAGTAGACGAGCACGAGGAGCAGGTGCGTGACGCACGTGCTCAGGGCCCTCCGGCGCCCGCCGGGGAGCCGCTGCCCGCGGCACTCGCGGAGGATGAGCGCGTAGGAGGCCGCGACGGCGCCCAGCGGCGGCGCGGTGCCCAGGAGGATGTTGGCGTAGACGACGGGCGCCTCGTAGCCCACCTCGCCGCACATGAGCCGGCGCACGGCCGAGAAGTCGCACGTGGACGAGGGCACGACGCGCGCCCGGCAGGAGCGGAGGCGCGCGACCACGGCGACGTAGCCGGCGCCCTTTGATCGCCCCCTTTTATATGGCCGAACAAAACAGCTGTTTCGGCATGCGGTGGCTGGGCATGCGGTCTACATGACGCAGCCAATGCAGCCTTGCCTGCCGGAGGGGCTCATCGATGTGACTTTGTCCGAATCTTTCAATTGATTTATTAGCTCCTCCCATAACCCAGCCTGGATAAACCCAGCAAGGGTTGTAGGCAGGCCACCCTGAATGTTTCTTAATGCCGAAGATGTTCCGTTAGGGCGGTCAACGTTTTGCAAGCGTAGAGAAGGGAGGGGATGATCATTGCCGAGAAGACCCGAAGCTTTGAGTGGAGTGACAGACCAGGTAGTTTCCGCACAGCGTAATCCAGCCGATGAAAATATAATGCCACTAGACTGGTTCGGAGTAAGAATTCTGCTTTCAAACCAGAGCCTGTCTTAAGCACACTGCCCAGGTATGGAAAACTCTCCACTCTCTCCACAAATGCCCCAAAACCAATGGGGTTCTGAGGAGGTGGAGTGTTTGATGGCACACAATACCCAGGCAGGTGCTTAGTTTTGGAGGGGTTGATGATAAGGCCCCACCTCCTTGGGGCATGCTCTAGGTCTAGCAGCAGCGCCTCCAACTCTTCCTCTGAGTAAGCAGCAATCACCAGATCATCGGCATACGTAACATGGTTGACCAATAGAGAGCCATCCCGTGACCGCACCCGGGCGTCTATCAGACTCCCATTGGGTCTGTACCAGATGGAGATTCCTCCAGTACAGGGATGGAAGGCTTCTCCAACTACGTGGTCAAAAAAGATGTTAAATAATGTTGGAGCCAGAGTACATCCATGTCAAACCCCAAGGTGAACAGGGAATGGCTCCAACTCCTGGCCACGCATCTTTACCCGGACCTGCCCACCATCACGAGGGTCCTTAAATATTGTTAGCAGAAAGTCAGGAACTCCGAAAGCATGGAGAAAACCCCAGAGCCCAGTCCTTTCGATAGTATCACAGGCCTTGGCCAGGTCAATAAAGCAGAGACGTAGGTCCTTTCGGCATTCCCTACACCTCTGCTGTAGCAAACTGACGGAAAATATGGCATCTGTGCAGGACCGCACTGAGGTAAAACCATTGGGCCTCCGCAAGCCTCTCCTCAGCGTGCCTGGCAAGGAAATGTTGAATAATCTTTGCCAGGACCTTTCCCAGCAGAGTTGTTACTGTCTGTGCAGTCCCCCTTCTTAAACACTGCTATTATGAAGTAATATAGTGCAGTCTGCACACAAATGCCACCTTTCCTTAGCACGTATATAACCTCCTTGTTGCAACAGCTCTCTCGCTTGTTCAACAGTTCCACTGCTGGATTATATTTTTTCTGCCTGAGGACGACCGCCTGTGTTGCGATCGAAACGTCGTGATTTATTGTTACTTTATACCTACGTGACTTTACTGAAAGAACCAAAGAGTGTCATAGAAGGCGTCTGACACATCGGCCTTGCCTGCATTCCTCCTTCTGTAGGGACGTAAGCAACCGCCACCATCCCTCACCTCCTGTGGATAGGAAGGCGAGCCCACAGTAGCCTGGGGCTTACAGCTTCCCAAACATCACCTCCACGCTTCCATGCCCCCTTCATGTTTTTTGTTCAGAAGAAGAGCCACTCCCTGTTGTTTGGCATTCTCCTGCCCAAGTTGAGGACTGTCCACCCCCCATGGTGACTGGAGCCAGATCCAGTCCACCGTACCTAATGAAAGCCGCAGAGATCCAGGTGGTACCGGTCCAGTTCCCGACAGAGAAGTGGCAGCTTTCCTGCGCAGTGAGCGTTTGAACATTCAACATGGCCACTTGCAGTAATTTTTTTGCCATTTCTGGAGCAATCCCGAGGGTATGAGATGAGTCTCCTGACTCAGCCAAATGGAGTATGCCCAGATAACGTCATAGACGCCTGTCCCCCGCCCCCCCCCCCCCCCCCCCCCCCGCGGCCACCGGGACAAGCTTAGTTAGATTTTTTACACGTGCTTTTGTGGTATTTTAATTGAAGGACGAGGGGTTACCAGCCCCTTGCACCCGTCCAGAGACACCATTAGCCGCTGTGGTGGCTACAAGAGCGATGGGGGGAAAAGCCAATTGGAATTGGCCATTCCTCATATGGCGTTGCTCACATCAATCACGGCGTTATCGTCCGGCACCAGCGAGGTGGTCGGGTGTTATTTATGCGTCCGCGTGTACGTGGTACCGTGCATCCCGCGGGGAGCTGAGAGGGCTACCCGATCCTCGTGTCTTCCTGCAGAGGGGCAAGAGGCTTCGCAGGCCTAACCCGGCTTCGCAAGAACCTCACAAGGCTCTCCTTCACCTCGGCCGTCCGCAGGCCGTAGACAATGGGGTTGAGCACCGGCGGCAGGACGAACTGCAGGCTCTGGAGCGACACGCTCAGCTCCGGCGACGCCGCGGACGACGGGGTGCCGCCCCCCGCGCCGCTGGCGAACGTCGCGAGGATGGCGCCGAAGTAAATGGCCGCCACCACGAGGTGGGTGCCGCACGTGCGCAGGGCCTTGTTCCGGCCGCGGCGGAGCGCCGGCTTGCGGCACTCGTGCAGGACGAGCGCGTAGAAAGCCGCGATGGCGCACAGAGGCAGCGCTATGCCCGCCACCGACATGGCGTAGGTGTACGCCTGCCCGAGGGCGACGTGGTTGCAGGACAGCACCCTGAGGGCCAGGAAGTCGCACGTGGACGTGATCAACGAGCGCGGCTTGCACAGGTCGAGATTGACCGCGATGGCGACGTTGCCGAGGCTCTGGGCGGCGGCGAGCGCGACGGCGAAGGCCAGGGCCCTGAGGGCGACGGCGTTGGATGCCGCGCCGCGGTAGGCGAGCGGTCGGCACACCGCCAGGTAGCGGTCGGCAGCCATGGCCGCCAGGATGTAGCCGTGCACGCGGAAGGACACGTGGTAGGCGAACATCTTGGCAATGCACCAGGGCGCCGAGATGCGGGGGGAGTCGCCGACGAGGTCGTACATCGTGCGCGGCAGCGCGTTGGTGTTCTCCACCAGGTCGGTGACGGCCAGCGCGGCGACGAGCAGGTGCATGGGCTTGTGCAGACGACGGTCGCGGGCGATGGCGAGGCACAGCAGCGAGTTGCCCGCCAGCGTGAGGGCGTAGACGAGGAGGAGGAAGGCGAACACGGAGCGCCTGACGGTGGGCGGCTCACGGAACACCATCTGGATGTGGATGAGGTCCGTCGCGGCGGCGGCGGCGAGGAGGGGTGCGGAGACGTTGGGCCCGGGGCCGTCCTCCATTTTGTAATTTGCTGCGAGCTGGGAAGATGGCGGCCACTGCTGTCGCCGTCCCCTCCCACGTGACTCCTCTCCCCTTTGCTCCTCCCAAAAAACTCGAGGGTGGGACTGTGCGGGGGGGGGTTGGGGATGGTGGGAGGGATTAAGTTTGAGCGAGTGCTCAGTTCGTTCGTTGAGCGGCGACGCACGTTCAGCTGGATACCGCTGTGAAAGAAACATGTCACTACATCTCCATGAGTAAAAGGAAAAGAGTGATACCCCCGATAATGCAATTTGAACTTATTTAAAGGCTCCACGGTGGCAAGGAGATGTTAACTACATCGCCCGGTATGCGGGAGGTTGTGGGTGCCTATTCTGAACCTGACGATGCCTGATTTATATTTGGAGTCTGTGTGTCTCTCTCCGTTTTGGGATGTCATCTACCTCGCCTCGTATGCAGGTCGGGGGTTCAATCCCGATCCTGATGCCTGCTGTGCATTTGGAGTTTGCATGCTCTCTCCCGTGGTCACGTGGATTGGTTTTCTCCGCAATTATAACCATGCGTGTAGACTACAGGTAGTCCCCGACTTCCGATGGAGATGCGTTATGACGACCCCATCGTAAGTCGAAAATATCATAAGTCGAAAATGGCCTAGTCTACCCAGGAGTCTTATAGAATGGTTATAATTTAGCAAAACAGAGCAATTCACAGTACCGTACTGTATAAACTATATACTGTATGTATTTATTAATGACAATACTGTATTGCACAGTAAAATTGTAAAAAAAAAAGGTAAATTATTAGCCTTCCTCATAATAAAGGTTTTTGAGTTAGATCGCGTTATTTATGAATGTGTCGTAACCCTCCACCACCCGGCACGGCCAATCAGCAAAAAAAAGTGTCACGTTGACAAAAGACAAATAATTCACTACTTTAGCCCACCGGTGTGTTGAAGAGTGAATCCACAACATTTACAGTTTGAGTACGACGTTTCGCTCGTAAACACATCCAGCATCATCGGCAATTTGCCAGAATAGTAAAGCCCTCGCTTGCTCCCGGTTTTAAATAGAGCAGCAGGGTGACGTCATCATTTAAATCATATCAGGTGCAGTGATTTGAGGTGGAGGGGGGGGGGTATTGTAATTATATAATCGATTTGTAATCAGTCAATGGTTATGATTAGTAATGAGTTGTAGATTAGTAATTAGTTGTAATGTGTGTTAGTGATTTTATGCTATGTTAGTAATCCGTTAATTAGTATGTGTTTCCCCTATAAGGAATTGTAATGTGCATTCATATTCTTAGCTCCCTCGGCAAAGCCACGCCGATGGGAAACAACAAAACAACAAATATATATTTTGTTATTTGATTGCTTCCCACCAACACGACTCCACCGAAAGAGCCAAGAACATGAATTACTGCAGTCACGAAAGCTTTAAGTCAAAATGTAATGTGTATTATTTAATAATACGCTTCCAGGCCGCACTAAGCCTGTAGCTGTCAGAGCGATTAAAGTAATTTTTATTCCTCTCAATTTCAATGGATTCTCTAATTAGTCTTTGCCAGTAATAATTAGTTTTACACAACACTGCAACATTATCCAAATCAATTGAGTGTCCTTGTTGGCAAGCATGTTCTGCCACTGCCGACAGTTGTGTTTGAGATAATTTAATATTTAGCTGATGTTCTTTTAGTCTTGCGCTGATGTTACGTCCCGTCTGTCCAATATAGCATCTGCCACATAAACAATTAATCCGATATACACCTTCTGTCGATAATTTAGGTAATGCGTCTTTAGTGCAAGATACTAGTTTTTGAATTTTGTGTACTGTACCAAATCTTACTGTAATGTTTTGCTTTTGCAAAACACGGGCTAATTTGTCAGTTACTCCTGAGATATATTAGACTCCTTCCACATAATGAGGCAGAGATGACTAGACATGAGGTTGCCAAAATAATTGAGAATAGCAAAGTTCCAAAAGTAAATATTAGCTCTAACGAGGCAAAAGCCTTAAGAGAGCTGCGTGTAAATAAGGATATCCAAATCCTAGCAGCTGATGAAGGCCGCACTACTGTAGTGATGTCACGAGCCGAATATGATAATAAAATTAGAAATTTACTAGAGGAAAGTACCTACATTAAAATTAAACGAGATCCAACAAATACTTTAGAACGTAAGACCACTGCAATAATTGCAAATTCATTAATCCCTAAAAATGAGCAATACCAAATTAAGCCAAGGGCCTCACAACCACCTAGACTCTATGGGCTACCAAAGATTCATAAAATCGGCATCCCATTACGACCCATAGTCAGTACAATTGGCTCTGCCACATATCAATTGGCAAAATATATAACCAAACAAATACAGCCCTACATCGGTAGGACATCTTCATTCATAAAAAAATTCAGAACATCTTGTGAATGTGATTAAATATATTAAACTTACTCCTGAAGATATTCTGGTAAGTTTGATGTTATTTCTCTATTCAATAAGGTTCCAGTGAACGAATCGTTTAAATTACTTGATACACTTGTAATGAATACCGGTTTACCAAAAGATTTTCCCTAACTTGCTGACCATTGTTTAAATAACACTTCTTATGGAGAGGGGATTTCTTAAAAAAAAGGAAGGAGCAGCAATGGGCTCTCCTTTATCCCCTGCTATAGCAAATTTGTACATGGAAAACTTTGAAATAAGAGCACTTGCATTGAGCACATTAAAACCATCCTTTTGGTTTAGATATGTGGATGACACTTTGGTTGTCTGGCCACATGGTAAAGATACACATAATGATTTTCTAAATCATCTTAATGCACAAAACCCGGCCATCCAGTTCACCATGGAAATGGAGGTGAATAACACACTCCCATTCCTAGATATTTTGCTTGGACATGGCCTAAACGGTAAAATAACACACAGCGTTTACAGAAAGCAAACGCACACTGATGCCTATCTGAATGCAGATTCATATCATCATCCAGCTCAGAAATCCTCTCTTATCAAGACGCTCATACATCGGGCTAAAACAGTGTCAGATGGTGAGAGTCTAGTGAGAGAGATCAAACACGTTAAAGACGCACTACGACAGAATGGCTACAATAATGCTCAAATTAACAGAGCACTGAATTCCAAATCACGATCGCAAAGCGATACTGCTGAAAGCGATCAGATTGTTAAAACAATAAAAATCCCATATATCTCAGGAGTAACTGACAAATTAGCCCGTGTTTTGCAAAAGCAAAACATTACAGTAAGATTTGGTACAGT